GGTGGGTCGCGGGTGTGGTGGTGGTGGTAGTCGATGTCGGTGATCTGGTGAGCCCAGAGCTTGGGTTCAGCCAAGCCAGACTTGAGCCAGTGCCAAGGTCCGACCCCCGCGCGACCTGCCAAATCAAGCCCCCTGGGCGCTGGCCCAGGCCTCGGTGGCGCAAGGACACGCGGGACTGGGGCCTGTTCCCAGACCCGCTTGCAACACCATATGACTGTCAAGCTGGGCCTTAAGAGCATCTCCATCGCAGTCCGTATATTCGGGTCCCTATCGGGTGAAAATACGGACTCGGAAATGTAGATAGGGACTCGAAGGCTTGTTCTGCCACACCGGGCAGTCTGTGAATTGAAGCGATCTTCCATCATTGGTGCGGTGTTGAGAGGATGTTACAAGAGGTTGTGTGACATTTACGATGAGGTGTGCTGTGAGTGCACAATCCTCAGTCCCTATCCAATCCCTGGATCCCGGGCGGCGGGTCTGGAGAGGGACCGAGGATGAAATCCGTAAAATACGGACGTGGATGGGGACCGCGGTGGGAGTTGATTTTTGGTCTCCGGTCCCTAAATGCGGGATAGGGACCCCATTTAGGGACGGCGGTGGAGTTGCTCTAAATATTGGATGGATGGATCATCATGTAAGGATGGCAATTGGGCCGGGTGTCCAATGGGCCACCCAAGCCCATTTGGGGTTGGGCTGGGTTTAGGCTTGGTTTTGCCTGAACCCAGTAAAGAAAAAAACCTGCATTTGGCTGGGCCCATCAGGCCCGCACCTGGGACCTGCCTGCCCATCAGACGACTGATGGGCCTCCCTCAATCAGGTTTCCCACAGCAACAATCACCAATTTGGTGAAACCAAGAGCTGCAGGCCCATTTGCCAAATGGGTCCAGGCCAGGCCAGGCCTGCCTGCTAAGATGACGGGCCCCAACTGGCCGGCCCGCAGGCGGCCCAAGCCTACCTGTTTGCCATCCTTTGGAAGTCGAATCCGGGTGATGATGGGGTCCTGGTCGAAGTGAGGAGTCGAGGAGATGAGGCCATGCTCAGCAGTTGACCAGGCGAAGGCATCGATCGGATGAGGTTTACAGAGTCCACCGTCCAACTTGCTCGACAACTATCACGACCACTAAAACAGCAATGCCCTCTTACTCTTACCCTCACCAGCAACTCAAGCAAAACAGGTTATAAGGACGCACAAAACTAGAAGAAAGAACCCCAGAATTGCCTCGACGAAAGAGTCTCTATCTCAGGAATTTCCGAAATTAAACGAAAATACGGTAGCGCACGCATTTTATTCAAGCACGTCTGATGTCTCCCAATGCCGATGTCAGCGAGCCTCCTGTGGCGGAATCGATCCCAGTCGAAGAGTCTACAGTAGCAGACGAACGGGACGAGCATTCTGCGTCCGAACGATACGAGACAGATGTGAGTGAGTCAAACACCTCGTCTATTGAGTTTCGTTTTCCTCTTTGTTTTTTCAGACACACGACTGACTGGTGGTACCTTTGAAAATAAAATGTCGGGCTAGGGCGAGCAAAGCACTAATGTCGAATCAATACCACCCAAAGCCATCTCGGGCCCACCGACGGGAGAAGCCGAATCGAAGCCTCGACTCTTAAGCACCCATATCGATTCGGCCACTGTAGCCATTCCGCCGGTCTTCCAACCTCTCCCCTCCTTCTTCCCGCCCGATTTCTTCGCCACTCGCTCCCACCCATGGAACCGATCCGGCTTCAGATACCTGGCCTGTGGGCCGCCGGTCGACCAACAACATCAGGACGTGGACTATCCGGTTCATTATACCATCGAAACCGCGCCCCCAGGACTGGTGAAATGGTCCTGGGAAGATCGCAGCAGCTATGTGTACGTGACCAAGGACGGCTTGTCGGTTACCACCGATAGAGGCTTTCGATCGGCCCGGGCGAATCTGCCAATCAGAGAGGGACAGTGGTACTTTGAAATCAGCATCGTTCGTGCCGGTGGAGAGATCAATCAAGGCGCCCGATCCGAGCCAGAGGAAGCCCACGTCCGGGTAGGCATAGCCAGGAGGGAGTCTGGCTTAAACGCGCCCCTAGGGATCGATGGGTATTCCTACGGAATTAGGGACAAGACTGGCGAGAAAGTACATCTATCCCGACCTCAAAAGTACGGCGAACCGTTCGGCTCGGGAGATGTGATCGGGATCCTGATCGATCTTCCCAAGATGCGCCAGCCTCGGGATGGAGATCACGACGATCCGGCGCGGATCGAGCGGAAACGAATCCCGATTCGCTATCGCCGCCAGCTCTATTTCGAGTCGGCCGAATATCCGATCTCTAAGGAGATGGAGGAGCTTGCCGAGTCTGCACTGCCGGCCAAACTGAAATCGAAACAGGAACCTCACAAAGCCACACTGACGAGCGAGACGCCCAAGAAGAAAAGCCTTCCGGGTCAAAAGCAGGTTGAGGACGAGCCCCCCACTTTACCAGCTCTCCCTAGCGGACCACCCTTGCGTCCTTTATCCGTCCTGAAAGGCTCGAAAGTAGCATTCTTCAAGAACGGCGTCTGTCAGGGAGTGGCATTCAGGGATCTGTTGGATTTCTTGCCGTTACGAGTGGACCCAAGTCCTCAAAACAATGGCTCTGTGCACCAGCTGGGTGAGGACCAGACAGCAGCAGACTCAAACAACGTCAAGAGCGGAGGGAGGCTGTATGATGATGGTACACTCGGATATTATCCCTGTGTAAGTGTCTATGGAGGAGGAATCGCTCGGCTTAACGCCGGCCCTGAATTCAAGTTCGCCCCGCCAGACTCAGCCAATCATCTGCTCGACGAGGAGGCTGATCTTCCCGAGAAGGATACATCCAACGACTCGACAGGCACGAGTAAAAAAACTTGGAAACCACTCTCGGAGCTGTATCCCATTCACCTAGCCGAGCAACGAAGACTAGACGAGCTGGATATAATCGAGGCGCAGAAGCAGCTAGCAGAATCCGTCCAACGGGCCAGCCTCGCGCAAGTCGATGTGACCGTCAAACCCAAAGCTACTTCCAAACGCAAACGCGTCAGCTCGCCTTCCTCCAGCGCTGTGGGGAGCTCTGGTACTGCCAAGGGGAAAAAGAAGGGTAAGGTGGGCTCCACCAGCGATGGGCTGCTGCCTCAGACTTTCAAGCCAAGCCCCCTGGGAAATATGGAGATCATCGAAGAACCACAACCCACTCCCTCCACCCAGTCAACCGGCGAGCCTGGAACGGGGACCCATTCTCCTGCTATCGGTTCCAATTAGTCCGTCGATTACCGTAATACCCAATCGCTGCATCCACATCAAAACTCTCATCTCGGAATCACCATAACTATTCAAGGTCAAAAAAAATTGATTTGCTCCGCGAGTCATTCGAATCATTTTATCATACTCTCTATCTTCTGTTATTGTGTATTTAATTTAATTTTTTTTTTTCAATCCATCAAGATGTATTCTCTCACAAACCATTCTTGGTAGTTTGGATATTTATCAAGGAAGGTGTGGCATTAATCAATCTCAAGTAATTCGTGTGAGCTTATTCCAGCCATCAATCAGGCTCACAAAGCCAACCGGTCCCATCCCAAAATCCAGAAATCACAACCCTGACATAAGGATTTCTTTTAGTAATGATCTGCTGAGATGCGAGTCTTGTCATGTTTCAAGAACGATTATCCTTCCATCATGTATCGAATGAATGTGGCTCTACAAGTCGTAAATCCTATATGCTGCTCTGATCCTATGTATTTTATTATCTCTTGTTCTTTGGTCATGCTATTTTTGTCTCCAATCAGATTGGAGTGCCAGGACGGATCGGGCTTGATCCAAATCTCTTCTCCGCCTGTTTATTTGCCCCTCTGTCTGTAAAATGATCTATTACAGACACATTGTGCGGCTGTTGACCAGAGTCACTTGTTATGATGATGTCTGAATACATTTATTGAAGTATTCTTTTCCCTCAGGATTTTCGTTGATGAATTGCACAAGTCTGACCTGCTCCCAATTTTTACTGCTTTGAACTTCCTTGACTTGTGGTGGTGTGGCAATCAGACTAACCACTTCTTGCTCAGCTCAACCTGCCAGCAAGCTGAAGCAGAATCAGGTTGATATGAATTACTAAATTCTTTGTCAATGTAGTAGTGGTATACGCAACGTGGTACATTTTAAAACACGCAGAATTAGAATTGGCAAGAGTCAAAAAAAGCAATGCATAGATGCAAGTTACCTATGGGTTGGATTTCCACCTCAAGGTTGGTCTTGTTCACAGAAGATGAACCAAAGGGAACTTACTATGAGCAACTAATACTCAAGTCTCGAACAAATTGAGAATCACTGCAACAGTACTGATTAATTGATAGAGGGATACCTTTCATTCACTCAAGAGAAAGTCATAGCCAATGAATTCGGAGAGACAAGACAGAGGGAGGGAAAGAGAAAAGGAAAAAAATGAAAATCTACATGACACAAAACAATAGCATGGGCAGACAAAACCATGTGAAAAAAGAATAGGATGATCATGCGAGATAGCTGGGCATAAATGATCGAAAGAAGAAAAGAGCTAGCCCTCTTACAAAAAAAAAATAGAAGCGAAGGTTATATGCATGTTGTATCTATTGATTTATTTTTTCTAACAAGTTGTGCTCTTTGCACATACCTTGTTTTCGTTTTTCTCTATAGAGAAAGAATATTGATTTTATGTTTAAGAAGGCACGAAGGACACACAAAGAAAAAAAAAAAATAACAAACAAACAACACGATTACAAGTAATATTCCATCCCATCTTTTTTGGTTTTGAATTTTATTTTGTCCAATTCCAAGTGAGAGAGACAAAGTCTTCAATGGATTGAAACCCCACACACTTGATTAATATGCTAGGACAATCAAACCTCAATATATAATGTTTGATTGTTCCCGTATTTCGGTTTTTTGGGGGGTGGAGGGCAACCAACTTATTTCGTTGCGGGATCTTCGGTTTCTTCGGTCTCCTCAGCCTCTTCAGTCTCTTCCTCTGGCGAAGCGCTCTCAGGCTCTTCCGCCGCAGATGTAGGTTTTTCGGCGAGCTTCATGGATGCCACATCTAGTGACCGTTAGGAAAGAGTTTTTAGTTTTGGAATAACAAAAGCCAAGCCTTGAGGTTTTAGTTCGAGGACAAAATGACTAACCAGAAACAACAGCGTTGATATCGACGCCTTTCGCAACTTCTTTCTCGCGTTCCAAAGCCTCAGCCCATCCTTCGTCAAATAAATCGGCATGTTCTTCAGGGTTGGCGATTTTCATTGCGATCTTCGTTTTACCCGATTCCTCTAGGCTACCCTTCCACCGTTCAACCGCCTTGGGTACTTGACTAGGTGCATATGTCCTTGCAAATAACGCGGCTTCTGGTAAGCGTTCAGTCGATAGAAGAATATCTACACACTCCTCTGGGGCACCGAGCTGAAGTTGACATGAGAAGGCGATGTTATTCTGACCCGCGACGGCTGAGGAAGAGATAACCGTGATCAGTTGTTAACGAAACGTTTATGCAACCGCAAATAGATGAGTGATCCAAACCAAAGTGGTCACGTACTAGCAAGGTGAGCCAATCGACTTAATCCATCACGATCACCGGTGGAAGAGTAAATTAGCAACAGAGCGCTCAAATCTCCTGCTTTAAGGAACGACTCTTCTGCCAATTCGATCTTCCAGCTAGCCAGAGCCTTTTCCGCAATTACTCTCCATTTACTTTGGGACTCTGGATAAGGTGCAGATTTGGTGATCTCCAAGGCGGTATCCAAGTCATCTAATTGAGTGGCTAGCTCGAATCGATGATCGATATCCGTCGATACCGACAGAGCCAACTCTTTCAAATCTTGACTTTCTAAAAATCTGGCGATCCGATTGCGCTGGTCTTGAGGCACTTTCTCTAATAGTCCGGCGGCCGAATCCAAGTCTCCATGCATGATTGCTGTCTGGTACTCAACTACCGACAGAGCGAGTGAAAATGAAAAGATCCCGCAATCCTTATCGCAGAGATAAATCCGGTTGTAGTTCGGGAGATAGCCCA